AATTTCGACCGAAATTAAACTCAAGCGACTTGAGAGTTACCAGTTCCTTCCAAGCACCTCCTCGGCGCGATAGCCGCTGGCCTCCTCGAAGCCCCGGTTGACATAGATGATCGGGTAGTCAGGCTCAAGCGCATCGGAAACTACCAACCCGCACGACGACGCCGGCCGTAGCATGCCCTCCACCGCGAACGAGAACGCCCCCGCGCCGCCGCTCAGCAGGAAGCCCTCCTCCTCGCCGTCGCTCGGGCCCTCGGAATCACTGTCCCACTCCATCCAGCGCGCGCCGCCTAATCTAGATCGAACCTCTTCCTCACCCCATCGAGTAGGCGGGGAACCGCAGCGAGAGCCGAGGAACCACGCCGATCGGAAGGAAAAGGAAGCCGCTTCGGGATCCGAGAACGCGAGGGTTTCGATGCGTTCGCCGGAATCTCCCTCGAATTCTCGAGGGTTTGGGGCAGATGGCGAGGAGAAGGGTGGGGGAGGAGAACGAGTGGATGGTGTGGAGAGAAGGGTGTCGAAATGTTGGCCGCACAGCGTCGACTCCGAAACGGGAGCGGGTTTGGAAGGGGGAACGCGAACGCGAACGCGAGCCCTCGGTCGCTTCCCACCGCGCGTACGTCGATCTCGGTGCGGTGGCTTGAGAAGCACCGTCAGTTTCTCGCCCTTTAGTAGTGGTTAACGGCGGATCTGTGTGGTTCGATGGGCCATTTTTATGCGGGCGGGCGGTCGTGTGCGTGCGACTGTGAGGTGGGAGAGTCTGCGGACATTACCGAAGCCTGCGACGATTGTTTTACGGCGTTCAAATTGGATTATTCATGCTTAATAGAACTAAATTAAGAAGAATTAATGTGAAGATATGTGTAATGACTAATTATTGCTCAGTTATCCACAACAACAGGCAATAATGTCTGGATGATTTCTTTTTCGAATTCATGTAAATCTTTTAATGTTGATGTCGAATTATATTTTCATTCCAACTTGTTAATCCAATCATCTCATTTGATCTAAATTAACCCATACATATTATTAGATGGCCTCCCATCAAAACATAACTCCATCCAAATCAAAATCATTCATCCATTTCAAAATCCATGCTCATTTCTAGCATAACATAAGATTTCCATATGTAAATCTGATTGATCTATCCAATTTTTCACTTACAATTAACTTGGACAGCCTATTTCTTGGATCACAAAATCTCTAATCCAAAATTATGTTCCAACTTAATGATACCCTAAAACCCAACTGCAATAAAACTTAACCATAGGTATATATATAATTCAGTCTCCTATGATGAGTGTGCCCTTCTGGAATTTACCATTCCAATTCCATGGCCACATAAATACTCATGATTAGACTTGGTAATTATGATTTCAGAATGAATGTATTATGAGCTGTCACCTCACATTAATCTAATTTCATATGTTTGTCATGGTGATCATCTGCATGATCTGAGGCAAGTTTATAGTTCAACAAGTATCCTATTTTATCAAACATTGGAGGGCCCTTCTTTGAATCCCCAAACAACAGTCCATGTTTTCTTTCTTCTGTTAAGGCCCTAATGACATTGCTTAATCTCATCTGCTTACGCAACAAAACATTAGCAGCAATACAGAACCATATTCTTTACATGAAGGCATCCATAGAAACACTACTTAAATCTCCTATAATACAACAATCCATTTACAAAATTATGCTCACGGGTTCAAAGAGGAGTTTTTTCTCCTTTTTATGACGACTACTTTTAGTTGTAGCACTTGAGAGAACCATCATTAATCATCTTCTTCATAGTCCCTCCTTCCCAAAAGTCCTCTGATGACTGCTGTGATGGCACCAAACACTAGAAACGCAATCAATACTTCGAAACCACCACCAACACCTACCGCGATGCTAGGCCCTGGTGCGAAGAACATGAAGGGTGACCATCCCCATCCACCATAGTACGGCACGGCATATCCATAGCCACCGATAAGAGGTGGTGCTACCGGGGGATTGACGTAGATGTTTGTCCTGCTCAAGATCAACACAATTCAGTAATTTCTAGATCTTTAATCAGAATGTAAAGACATTAATTTCGAGGCTGATCTCTGATGTGGACCGATTAATGAACTCTACAAGTTCGGATTTAATAACAAAGCAATTGAGTAGCATACAGTTTCGCTTTAGCAGAATGTATTTTCTTACATAACTATGTCAGGATAAAGATGACTTAGATTATCACATATTGCAATCAAATAAGTAGGTGCCAAATGATCCTTTATGTTACTCTTGGCAAATAATATGCATGAGCCAGTTCTGCGTGTGCCAAATTACATCCAGGTGCAAATCTTAAACTTAGAGAACAAACAGGAAGAGAAATAAAAGCCATAACGCAGCTTAACTAGGAGGTCATGATAGTAGGAACATCAAACAGGCTCCATAAATAACTTCATAACCCACAATAAGTTTTCAGTTATTGACGTTAAGGTAAATGCGAACTTGGCTCAACTTTGCTTCTTCCACTTTACATTGTAATAGCTTGACAGAACTCTAATGAAGTAAAATATTGTATCGAGTTGAGTCGTCTCCTGGTGATTGGTGAAAGGGAATTGCTTCACCCTTAAATTGATGTTATTTGGGATGACCCCTCGAGAACATCCCCTTCACCTACCTCAGGTTGGCTGTCAATGATGGGCCTCTGAGAAAATCTGAATGGAATTCATGGCATCTATGCCATGCTGCAAGGGGTGATAAATAGACTGGATAAATATAGAAGAGGATTCTTGTGGAAAAGGTTCTAAAGATTGAAAGGGTGGAAACTGTTGGAGCAGTGTGTGCAAATGCAAAAAAGAGAGGAGGCTGGACTTTCTAAAATTTGAGAGAGTACAATGTGGCTTTTCTAGAGAAACAGACAACGAAATATTACTTGGATGCTAGAGCACTGCGGGTCAACGTTGTAAGAAGTGACTACTCGAATGCTTTGTTATTATCTCTTTTATCATTGTAGAGAAATATCATAGAATTGTACATTGTGTCGGATGCAATGCAATTTGCATGTCGCCAATGGTAGAACAGCATTGTTTTGGCTTGAAAGCTTTGAAAATCCGGCAACAGTTTGTCACTCAGCTCTAGAAAGTAGCTGCTGATACTCGTGTCAATCCGGTAGAAGCTTTCAGGAAGTCATGAAGATTGAATAGAGAACCTCTTCAGAACTGATGTCATGTTGGTGCTTGTTCAAGAACTCAGCAGACTCATCTTGCCAATGGTCTAATGTCATCTTACGTGCTTGCTAAGGCAATTTTACTCGGAGATGAAAATTTTCAGTTTTCTCTCTTTGTATACTGCTGACCTTATGTGGGCAAAGATTTGCAGCTCCTTATCAGAAGTTAGGTTTTCCTCTCAGACATAAATTGTTCATTTGGCTTATTCACAGAGGAAGAATATATACTACCAAACAGTTTGCTCCTTCTACAACGGTGACGAAGAAACCATACATCAGCTAAAATTTTGGAGATACTACGGACCACGGAGCACCATAAAAGAGTTCCAAACTGTAATATATCAAACTGGAAAATTATAAATAATAATGAAACTCACTGCAATCACAGATTAAGGGACTATGATGATCTAAATGTCATCTGAGACCACAGTTGTGTCCTAAATGTCGTTTGTTTGCTGAATCATGACATGCTGTAAATAGATGCTTTGATGCCCAACATCTTCCACTCCTCAATCTAACACTTGACCCAATTCTCTAAAGGGCTATAGGTAATATCCATCATCCAACAATCAAGGACCAAAATGGTATAACATGGAAAACTACACTCGAGAACCAAAGACGTGAGCCCTAAATTTCTTGCTGCAGAATAAGTTCCAGATATATGTTGTTGTTCTCACAAACTGCAAATCCGTGCAAAAACTTATATTTCCATCGCTCGTCAATGTCACTGATCACTGTATATTATTCATTCAGGCACTAATTAATTTAATGGCATATTAGGGTTACCTTGAATTGTTAATCCGAGGGCCGGACACCCTGGGAGCCGCCGATCGGAAGGCCTGGCCGCCAATTCTGCCGCCGGACTTTGCGGCCACCGCCGATTCGACGGATCCCAGCGTCAGCGTCCCTGCTGCTAACGCCACCATCGCCAGTTTGGCCAACTTCACCTCACCTTTCTCACTGCTCAGTTATCAGAGCAAGAGGAACAAGCTCAGCTACGAGTTTAGCGAACATGGCAAGAGTTGTCACTGGCAGTCATACCTTAATGCGTCCTTGTCCATGGAGCAGCTGCGCGACACCAGTGGCTTCATGTTACGCTTGGGAGGGGGGGAGAGTGGGGTTCCGGTGAGGAAGCTGAGCTGAGAGGAGGCGAAGGCCATGGACTGCTACTTTCTCCTGCTGTGGGTGCTTGTTTAGTTTCAGACTCGACCGAGCGATGACTTCGATGTCGTAGAGGAAGACATGAGCTGAGCTTGACTTCACTTCGTTTACGGTATCGGTCCTCGGATCGAGAGATATATCCACGTAGATCCCCCCCATCCCACTTGGAACAGTCTTCAAATTCATTTCGAATCCTGTGAATTCGTAATTAATTGAAGTAAGGAAGAGATATTTATCGAGAATCTTCCGGATATAATAATGTTTACATGGTTTCCTAAACTTAGGGTCGAATGAATCAAGATTTGATCATGATTAAATTGAGACGACAATGAAAAATAATCTTGATTGACTCAGAATCGATATCTAGACAATCAAAAACAAACTTAACATTCATCTTTGCCACCAAGTCTTAATTTTGGTGAACAAGAACTCTTGTGTCTTTACAAAACATGGAGGGTCAAAGAAATATCAAGAACAAGTTGAAATAATTTTTGATTTGAATACAAAAGATACCTCCAGAGATATTTGAAGCAGCAAAATATACGGGCTTACTATGATCTGAGGGTCAACCTGCAGTTCTGTTGTCTCTCTCACATGCATTGTCCCATAGAAATCTGGCAAAAAATGTAATACAAATTTGTGGAATGGAAAAGACATAAAGAAGGAATGCAAGGTTTTTATTACAAGGAAAATGTTATGTTTGTATGCACAGAGAACATAAACATCAAGAGATTTCAGCCAGTTTTGTGCGATGGCAGGGCAGATGACTTGCAGACGGGGCACCAGTTCTTCTGCCGAAGCCACTGCTCAATGCATGTGGCATGGTAGAGATGCTCGCATGGCAACCGGCCTACTTCATCTTCGCCAACATATTCTTCCTGAAATGAGAGTAGCACATCATCCTCAACTAGAATACAAGCTTTAGTACATGTGATATTCTACTTTCTTTGAATGAATATTACGGTGATACGAATGAGGAAATTTCTATGGATTATTTGATTGTGTCATTCATGCTTTTGTAACAGATTGGTGCCAATACGTAATCTAATCTATCAATGACAGATTAACATATTACATTAATTCCTAATATGTTAATTTCTTATCTATAGATTTTATTAATTCCTCGGTACCTATCTATTTCGGCAGCTTGAAGGGCATAACCACTAAACAAGTACATCTGACTGATATCTTTGATGAGTTCAAAAAATAGGCTACTAGATACAAGAAGGTGAACATTGATGTCACGGAAAGATTACTCCTTTGCAATTCAATTAACCAGGGTTCGAGTATAAAGTTAAGATTGTGTACGAGAACCCTCCCATCCTGCAATGGCACACTGGGCATACAAAAACATACCTGACATATGCTGCATTTCATTTCCTCAGCACCACAGACGGCAATTCCAACGGTCAGATGGGCGGTTCTGTATATGCTTCTCTTGAGAGATTCACACAATTGCTCCTCTGAAAGGGCTGTGCTTACAGTACCCATTTTCTCCTCAAGTGCTAACAGTTCCTGACCATCAAAGATTCCATTTCTGAGCTAATAGATGTGTGTATTGAAATGCAAAGAAAAACATAACTTATCATGTCATAGCGACTGAATGAACTTCCAATTATTCACAAAAAAGAGAAACTTAATATTCCACAGAATAGAGATCAATCCAAAGTCACAATATTGAAATGTTCTCCAGTTCTTGGTTTTACATATACAGAATTCATAATGGTCATTATCATTAGCACAAAGGAAATCAATATCTAGCTTTCTTTCATATAAAGCAAAAAGATAAAATGAAAAATTACTACTTAAACATGGCATATCAACAGGCTAACGTCCTCTAACTGCCTGATTCCTACGTCTAACTTTTAAGCACCACATCATAATAAGAAAAGAAAAATCAGTAACCAATCCATGAAAAAATTGCCCAAAAAGGTAATACCTCATAGGACATATTATCAATGTCCATTCTCAGGTCTCTATGCTGATCATGGAAGCTAAGCTCACCAAAGAGCAAACTTGTCTCCAACATCAACAATTGCTGTAGGTACAGAGACAACCTCATTCAGATGGTGACAGAAAAAATAGAAGATTCTGAGAACAGAGGACAACAACCTCAGTTGTCAATGCTTCATTTTGTTCAATCTGCTCCAGTGCCAAGAGCACCTGCATAACAGTAGAACAGGTTTTGGGTATGAGTGCTCATCCAAATGTTAATACACAGAAATTATCATTATATTGAAATGATAAAACCTAAAGGAACTATAGCCTTGTTTCTATGTTGAAGTAAATCCAGCAGGTTGCTTATAGCGAAGATGCAAAAAGGGAATTTGTAGCCATAGGCTAAAAAGGTTCATAGAAAACCTCTGCAACTCCCTCCATGTTGAGGTGACGATACCCATCTCTATCTTCCAATAAGCCAAAGAACGTTTGCATGGCATTACTTGGAGGATGATCTACTACTCTCCTTCGAGAAGTCCGGATGCTTGAACATGGTTGTCTATACGAATTATTTAAGGCATGTGATGATCTTGAAGAACTTTCAGCTAGTACTTCTGGCATAGAAAATTGGGCCTGCTGATGTTGGGGAATCACAATAGGCTCATACAACCGAAGGCTCTTGTCATTGCCTTGCACAGATAGCCTCATTTGACTTTCTCCAATAGGATCCCTCTGAATTCTAACTGAAACTGAATCATCCCTGAGGGTTGGTCGATTTCCGGTCTTTCTTGAAACTGCCTGATGCATTACTTGATTTCTACTAGATGAACTTGAGCAGGCACCAGAATGCATGGAAACAGCATAGCCTCCACAGGATGCTGCGGTTGTATCCTTTCTTCTGGCGGCAGAACTTTCTCCATCTGATGGTCTCTTTCTTACTGCATAAACACTTCTATGATGTGTGAAATCAGAGGATGGACAATCTGCAGGAAAAACATCTGATATTGATTTGCAACTTAAACTTTTAAGACCATATCTCTCTGCCCCAGAGCCCAACCTTTGAGAAGTGGGTTTACCAACATGACTGGAGTTCCTATGTGTAATACCTGAGTGCCGAACAAAAGAGCTTGTAGAAGCATATTTATATCCTGAGCCAAATTGTCCATTAATTTGTTTGTGCGGTTTTGAAATTGATACACTGGTGTTTGACTCGGTTGTATCTCTAGAAATATTTTGAGAATCTAAAGGTTCAAAACACTCCATGGTAGTGGGAATACCTTCTTTACCTTCTATCCCCCTTTCTGCATCAGAATTTAGATTTTCTACAGAAACCTGTACGTCAGTGTTGATCAAATCCTCAATCTCATCCTGCTTGCTGCTACTTTCAGGAGTAGTTGATTCCCTTAGTAATGTTTGATTCTGCTGTTCCTGGAAAGACCTACCACAGCCACTAGAAGTGGAAGATGATCTGGAAGACCTTCCGGCTACCGCTTTACAGTTCACGGAACGGAAGGGAGCCCTTGCATATTTATATTTTCCTTGCGTGCTATTTAGAGAACCTCTCTCGGTGTCATGCCCGGCACCCAACCCTAGTCTGTTGCGATACTGAATATTTCGATCATTATAATTTTGATCTCTGAAAACAATGCCAGATCTACTGTCTTCCCCAGCTGCTCTCTTACCCACACGATCATCCATGTCTAACAAAAATGTGGGGCAAATTTTGAAGTCGAAGATAATGGTACTACAATAAAAAATATTTTCAAGTTGTAAGAATCAAATAGGTAAAGAAGAATAGTGTCAAATACATTTGGTAGGCAAAAACATGGACTCCTTGGTTCGCAAGCTACAATTGTAGTGAGAAAAGCACAGCAACCGATCAGAAAACCAGATAAAGAAATGCTTCTGTTTGCAACTAGAGAATTAGTTCATGCTCATGATATGAGTTTGTAAGTGTATAGAATTAGATGGTAGAGGGAAAAACATAGCTAAACTTATCTTCTTTTTTTTGTATAATAACAAGTGATCATACTATGATGCCAGCATGATATGCATAACATCTTGTTCTTGTATCCAATAGAGTCTTTCCCTTGGAAAGAAATGATAGCAAGAGAGCAGACAATACCAGCAATATAAGCTACACCGCGGATTTCAAAGAAACATAATTAAGCTAAAGAAACTTTTAGCTTCCGCGGCAAACGTAATTAAAAGAAACACATTTATCGAACTAGACAAGTACATTACATAACAAGAGCATCAATAACCATAATTGTGGCATTTACAGATACAAATTAAAAGGAAGAAACACAACAACGGGTGCAAGATATTCACATAATCGTCAAATATAGCAACCCACAAAAGTTGATCAAAACAGAAAAAGTTTCAATTCAAGCAAAGCTTTGAGCTATTCTAACTGCATATAAAGCAGCATACAACACTCAGCTAAAGCCAAGAAAAGAAGAAAAGAAAGCTAAAACCCTCAAAGTCACGCATCCAAAAGCAAAAATCAGATCTTTCAGAACAATATGGAGCCAAAGCGATCAATATCAACAAAAATCCTCTTCCTTTTCCTTTGAAACGAACCAAAATCCGATATTCATATGAACAACGATCGGATCTTTCAGACAAAAGCCGAGCCGAAGCGATAGAAACCAATGTGATCAACGCAAAAACAGAAGCTTTTTTCCTTCTTTCTCGCCCCATACCTTTACTGCGGCGTGCGCCACACCCGAAGGAGGGTGGAGAAATGGGAATGGATTGAAGAGAGGGAGGAGCTATGCCGGATGATGCCCGGGAGCTTAATGCCCCATCAGCTAGAGTCCAAAGAGGGCAGCCGAGCTCGTAGCAGCCGAAGCGGAACGGGTCCAAGAGCCGACCACCGTCGACCGCCCACAGCCGAACGGGTCCAAGAGGATGGTGGTGGTCGGGTCACGCTTCGGTGGAGCGGAGAGGACAAGGGGAAGAGGGAGAGGAGGAGGAAGCCCACCACCTGCGGAATCTAATGCCATCAATCAAACTCTTACATAATACTTTAATGATCACGAGCAAAGATCGAATTTTGATCATGGTCTTTTCAATCGATTCCTTTGATTAAAATGATCACGATCAAAGAAATTTAAATACTGAGGTGCTATGTCACTCTCAACTACGGGCCTTTACGTCCAAATCTAGTCACAATGTGGAACGATCAACTATTATCAATTCAATTAAGTCCCTTAGATCTTGTAATCGTAGGTTTCATACTTGAGCTTAATTATGGGTTACGATAGATAGTCCAAGCATATTATCATTAACTTGTTCAAATATTGATTAAGTTAGTTAATAGATCGATTATCTCATTACATAATGTTATTTTAAATAATTCAAAAACTGGACACCTTTTTATGGTGGGATGTATTAAAGTTAATTGAAGAAAGAAGGCTACCCATTTATTTATCAACAAGGAAATCAATTGAGCACCATTTAAAGTCAAAACCATTCTACGCTTTGCTTAATCTTTGGTTTAAGAAACCATTAGCTGAGTTCAATGGTTTAATAAAATAAAAGTAGGGAATCAACGTGTCCACATCATGTCACCTTCTTCTCCTTTTTCCCTCAATTATACTCCACTGTGTCTTCCGGGCAACTATTTTATCCTGATGGAATATGATTGCCTGTGTGAGAGAGAGAGAGAGAGAGAGAGAACTGCTTTTGTGGTTCTTGCAAATTGAAGATTTTGAGATGATCTAAACATAATTATCAGATTTTTTTTTCAGATGCTAGGGATGAAATTGATGTCATTTTTCTAAATTTCTTAGTATCTTTTCTTGATTTCTTTCTATTTATTATTGGGTATATTTCTGAAAAAAATTAATTTTAAGAAATTTTAATAGAGAATTCTCGTTTTTTAAGTATTCGAGTAATTTTGTTCATAAAAAAGAATTTTATTATTACACCTTCGTTATTGATCACTTGTACTTTCACACTTGAGCCTTTGATCACCAGCTACCTTCGTTCGCCCCTAGTAGTCTCCGTGTCTAGGGTTTTGGTCACCTGTATGCATAAGGCCTCTTAACTTTCACTCGTTATGTCTATCATCATCCTTAGCAAAGGGGGCTGCGAGCAAGGATGGTGAAGGTAAGACATGCAATTATTAGTTATTGGTGGTTGCGGTCCTCGATTGGCAAGGATTGTTGACGCGAGGGGTTCTCAATGAAGGGGGTCGTTAGCTAGCGATTGATTCTCAACGATCATTTTTCATCCACTTCGATCATCGTAGATATGACAAGAGGCAAAGGTGACCAAAAGCAAAAGTGCAATGAAGATGGGTGTTTAGGAAATTTTTTTCAAGTATTTACGCTTTATGATTTTATTTAGCAATGAACTAAAATTACATAAACAATATATTACCGATTTATCTTGTGACACATTATGCCCCCACATTATTACTAATCTCATCTTGTAAACTAATGCATCTACTCCATTAAGTAATTAATACACAAACTTGTTCACCCCCATTCCTACTGCACATTCAATAAAACAAATGAATAAATAAAAATATATTCATAGAGATGGAATCTTTTCTTAGGATTACATCTCTATGTTGAGTTGTTCTCCTGGTTTTGACCGTGTTGACCTTCGGAGTCCTGCAATGACATGACCGTCTCAAAGGCTCCAACCAGAGCCCTCACCTTGCTCTTCTTCTTCTCCAACAGCTTGCTCCTGGTCTCCTCTATCACGTCATTGCTCATCTGCGACTCCTTCTTCTTCCCCTGCATCACCGCAGGCTTCTTGAACGTCATCACCGTCGGCGACTCCACTCCTTTCTCATCAATGACCTTCTTGTCCGGCTTGACCGTAGCGGTGCTCAGTTCTGCCACTGCAGTACTCTTCTCTTCTGACACAGAGGAGCTTGGTTCTGCCACTGGAGCCTCATTCTCCTCTGTGGCAGCTCTTGTTGTTTCAATCTCACATGGTTCTACTTGTGGCTCTTCAATGATCTCGGCAGCCGGCTTCTCTTCTGAGCTTTGCAAGAGTTCCTTGTTGCCATTGTCATGTTCTTTGTGCTTATCTCGATCATCATCATTTCCATCTTCATTCAATTGTTGTCCAGAATCAGATTTCTCGATGACTTCCACAACTTTTTCCTCAACGATGTCATTGGTATCGTCGGGCTGCTGATCTCCTGTCGAGGTAGGTTCGATGTCGATCCGCGTCTCATTTGGATCTAGTTCTCCGACTTGAATCTGTGGCTCTCTCTGTTCTTGCTCAGCTGGAACAACTAGTTCATGTTTGTGCTCTTCGACGTGGATTTCTGCCTCTTCTACACCCTTCTTGGTTGTAATAACTGGTTCAGGTTCGTGCTCTTGGGCATGGATTTGTGCCTCTTTTCGACCTTGCTCAGCTACAATAACTGGCTTCTCGTTCGTACTTGGAACAGCCATAGTAGGTTCCTTCTTTTTGGGGACGGCACTCCCCGAGCTCCTCCCTCTTACAGATGGTAGGCTCCCTCCGCTCCTGAGACTCCTTGTTGCTTTATCTGCTGAACTCACCGGCTTCGAGGATACTGTGGCCCGAGGAATGGAGGAGGAAGTCTTCGATGCTCTGTCTTTGACGGTGCTCGTCACCGGCGTTCTCTGAGACTGGTGCGATGTCAACAGGGGCTTCTCCGGTGGCTTTCTCGCAGGCAGATGCGATCTGCTGACGTTGGAAATGGCACTGGATGGTTGCTGGGGGAGGCTCTTGCCTCTTCTGGCAGCATCGCTGCTCGATCCGATCGAGGTATTGCGCTGCGGTGGATGAGTCGTCTCTCTCTCGGGAGATCTCAGGACCGACGACTTGGAGGTCCGTCGCCGACGCGAGTCGTCGGTAGCGCCATGTGTCGAAGAGACCAGGCTGCTCTTCTCTTTGAGATGCGTTCTTGCTTTGGATGCGGCCATGGCGAATGACCGCACTACGACGGGAATCAAAATGTCACGTACAAAAATGAGCCATGCAGTATAACCATCGAAATAGATTTTGAGCTTCCACATCACAAACATCAACTGACATAATGGAAGAGAGAGAGAGAGAGAGAGATTGTGAAGTTTACCTTGACAACAAGATTAATCAACACATGATTCTGCCAGAAAACTAGATTGATGCCTCCCTCCTCTTTCTCAGATGCTAAGGATGAACAAGATCCAGAGGAAGGCGAGTTGGAAAATAGGTGGGCTTGTGCAGTTTTATCCCAATAGATGGGAGGGGCTTTTGAGGCTTGGAGAAGAGGAGGGAGAGAAGAAGTCGGGTGTCCTTCCCCATGTTCCGCTCTGAGGCGGGAAAGACCAAGTCAAAGTTTGAAGCATATTGTGAACTGAACGGCTCCCTAGTTATAAGTGTAATTTGAAAGTATCCGCTACCAAATCATGAGAGCACACTGAATAATTTTTTTTCATTGCGATGTTACACATCTAAATTACACTATTTTCTGTGTATAGACGATATTATATTATATGATTTATGGTTGTCCATTCGTAAGCTTAATTTATGCTTATGGAGATTAGCATGTTAAATAACAAAGTATGGAAGTATATATATATATATATATATATATATATATATACATGGACCAACTTGATGAGGGTAATAATAATGATGGGATGCAAACTGACTTCATCTGCTCCCGGGTGACGTCTCCTGGGTCACGCGGATCGAGGAGTTGCATGGGTCGTTTGCCTCGGTATGACCTGATAGCGTCGGGCCGAGGCAGACTAAAACGTCGACCGAGGCACGTCGTCATCCTATAGGAGCCCGGTCCTTCATGCAACCCCAACGCTGGTGTCAAATGCCTTCCCAGGTACGGTTCTACTCCCTACAAGCGGGCACATCAGGAAACGGTGACCTTCCCTATAAAAACCCTCGCGTTCGGAACGAGGAGGAGGAGGGAAAAACCCTATAAGACTATCGACTGACTTGATCGTTGGAGGGGTCGGGTCGAGCTCTCCCGACCCGACCTGTGTGTAGGGACGAAGACGGAGCGCCTCCCACCACGCGCCCAAGCGAGGAGTTCCCTCCCAGAAGAAACGATTGTCCCGTCGAGACCGGACCAACGTAGTCGGCTACCTCAGCACTCTCAAGGGTAGTCCAGGAAGATCCCCACTCATTCGGACCCGAACCCAACTGTGTTGGCTCCGAGGCCATGGCTTAATGTTGTTGACACTAACATTTTGGCGTTAGAAGGAGGGCCCGAATGTCGAGGGATCGCCAAATCAACCTAGACGAACCCACAGTTGAGGGGTCGCGCTTGATCGGGGCTACGGGGGAACGCCCCCCGCATGGTGAACCCCTAGCTGAGCATCTCGTCGCAACTTTAGAGTGCTATTGGCGGTTATTCAACGACCCGGGCTTGTCGCCGCCCGAAGGTGCCCCAACCGACCCGTCACCCATATCGCCCGAGGCCTTTCAGGACCTCGCTCATCAAGTCTGAGCTCTGAGTGGGATGGTGCAAACCATTATCCCGCTCATTTCTCATCTGTCGCACCCACCTACGATCCAACCACTGCTGAAACAAGTATCGCCCGTTCGGGCTCACACGGTGCCCCCGGAGCTCCCAGTGTCGCCTCAGGTTCGACCGGCCCCGCTCGAAGATCGAGCAATGGGAAACCCGAGCGCCTGCTCGAAGCCCGAGGTGTTATCTTCAGACTCAGCAGGCTCCCTGCGAGCCCAACTGCGCTGCGTTAACCAGCGACTCGACGAAGTGCAGAGGGAGGTTCGTAAGTCTAAGGAAGAACTCGGGGAGGACGTGCATCGAGGGTCTCCGTTCGCACTTGAGATACAAGATCAGTCAATCCACCTGAACTTCCGTCTCCCCTCTCTCGATGCATACGACGGCACCATCGACCCGACAGACCATATAGCCACCTTTCGTGCCCAGATGGCATTGTACGGGATCTCAAACGCCTTGATGTGCAGAGCGATTCCCACGACTCTGAGGGGCCCAGCCCGCGCATGGTACAATGGGCTGAAGGCCGGGGTGATCACCTCCTTTGATCAACTCGCCAAAGACTTTGAGCTTAACTTCCCCGGCATACGCCCGGCCAAAGCCATCCGTCGCACTACTCCTCAAACTTAATTAAAGGGAGGACGAGCCCCTCTCCCATTTTGTAAATCGTTTTGTTACGGGAATTCGGGGGTTGTCGAACGCTCATCCCTCTCTATTAATGCAGGAGTTTATGATAGGCTTGTGACCTTCTAGATTCTTCTGGTCCCTCGTGGAGTGACCCCACACCGCGATACCAGAAATACTCCAGCGGGCTAACCAGTACATCGTGGCGGAGGCATGGATGGCCGGGAGGCGAGAGGAGCACAAAAGGGTCAGGCCGGAGCCACCTCGGGGGCAACAATCTACCGTGCTGAGGCGCAAGGTGGACCGACTTGACCATCCGGTGTCGAGGTCCCCGCTCCCCATCTCAGGCATGTCCCGAACAGAGATATTCCTCAAAATAAGGGAGAAGGGGTTGCTCAGAACCCCTAACCCGATGAGAAGTCCGCGGGAGCTCGCGTACCGATCCAGGTATTGTCGTTTCCATCGATAAAACAGACATGACACCAAGGAGTGCCATGAGTTGAAGTGGTAGATCAAGGAGCTCATTCGCGGAGGACACCTCGGTCGGTGCCTCCGACAAGCTAAAGAGCTTTCGCCCCACCCGGAGGGCCCTATTGAGCGGCAGATCGACGTGATAACAGGCGGCCTAGCATCCGGAGGGAACAATATATCCGGGCGAAAGGCATACGCCCACGCCGCCGCGGCCGAAGCCCCCAAACGTGGACCCGAGCCCGAGGTCACCTTCCCGGCCAAGGGGACCGAGCGATCCGAGCACGATGATGCACTCATAATAGTAGCCAAGATCGCCAATGCCCAAGTGAGGAGGATCATGATCGACACAGGGAGCTCGACCGATGTGCTATACCTGGATGCTTTTCAAAAGCTTGGGCTAACTAGGGACGCCTTGGAGCCGATGTGCTCGGCACTCACCGGGTTCACCGACGACTCGATCTCACCGTTGGGAGCGATCACCTTGCCCCTAACCCTGGGAGTCCCGCCAAGGTCCAAGACGATGATAGCAACCTTCTTGGTGGTTGACCTCCCCACTGCATACAACGCAATCCTCGGTCGCCCGATCCTCAACAAGATCAGGGTCATTATCTCCACTTACTACCAAACAGTGAAGTTTTCGACCCACGCCGGGGTCGGGGAAGTCTGGCGAAGTCCCCGCGAATCTAGACGGTGCTACTTGATGGCGGTCTCATTGCACAAAAGGGCAAGGACCGAACAACCACTGGGGGACCCCTGAGAAACAAAGAAACCGATCCAACATCTCGAGCCAATGGAGTCCACTAATAGTTTACCCCTACTGGAGGGTCGGCCAGACCGAACGATCAAAATCGGGTCAGAACTCCATGAGCGAGAAAGGGAGCAGCTTGTCGGCTTCCTACAGGAGAACGCCGACATCTTCGCTTGGTCGCCAGCTGACATGACAGGCATCAACCCAAAGGTTACCCAACATCACCTAAACATTTCACCTGATGCTCGCCCGGTGAGGCAGAGGCCCTGATGATCGACCCCCGACCAACAACTGGCTGTCCGTGAGGAGGTGGAGCGACTTTTGGCAGCAGGCTTCATAGCGACCGACAACTGACTGTCCGTGAGGAGGTGGAGTGACTTTTGGCAGTAGGCTTCATAGAAGAGGTCAAGTACCCGCGATGGCTGTCCAATATAATCCTCATGAAAAAAATCTAATGGGAGCTAGAGGATGTGCATTGACTACACCAATCTTAATTGTGTGTGCCCGAAAGACTACTACCCCCTCCCGAGGATCGACCAGTTGGTCGATGCGACCACCGGGCATGCTCGGCTCTCATTTATGGATGCATTCTTCGGCTACAACGAGATCAAGATGGCGCCCGATGACCAAGAGCACACGGCCTTCCTCACCGACCAGGGGGTATATTTTTATAGGGTTATGCCGTTCGGGCTAAAGAATGTTGGTGCCACATATCAGAGAACCGTGAATAAGATATTCACCCGGCAGATCGGGCGAAATATGGAGGTCTATGTCGATGACATGATCGTGAAAAGCCGTATGACAGTGGCCCACCTGACCGACTTGGCCGAGACGTTTGCCACGTTGCGAAGATACGACATGCGACTCAACCCGACAAAATGTGCTTTTGGCGTTATCTCAGGAAGATTCCTCGGATTCATCATACACGAAAGGGGAATCGACGCCAACCTGGAAAAGGTCCAGGCAATCATCAGTATGCAGGCCCGTTGGACAATCAAGGAGTTGCAATGGTTGAATGGGAGGCTCGCCGCCCTAGCTCGGTTTCTTTCTCGATCGGGTGATCGATGCCTCCCCTTCTTCCGGGCCCTAAAAAATCTGAAGAACTTCCAATGGACGGCAGAGTGCGAGGAAGCCCTTGTACGCGTAAAACAACACCTGGCTAGCCTCCCCCGCCTTGCCTTAGTCTCTTCTGGAGAGAAGCTCAGTATCTACCTGGCCACATCCTGACACGCGGTCAGCTCCGTCCTGACCAAAGAAGCCTCGGGGAGCAGCTACCAGTCTACTACATCAGCCACGTCCAAAGCGGGCTCGAGGAGCGATACCAGCCGATTGAAAGATAAGCACTGGCGCTCGTGCTAACGGCCTGAAAGCTACGCCCCTACTTCCAAGCCCATCCAATTGAGGTAATTGCCGACCAACCACTCCGGCAGGTTTTGTCTAAATTTGACGTTGCAAGTCGCCTCCTCAAATGGTCGGTGGAGCTCGACGAGTTCGACATACAATATGTACCAAGAATCGCCATCAAGCCGACTTCATCTCGGAACTAACTTAGCCCGAGGACGAGGATTCTGAGTAGGTTAGAGAAGGATGGGTCCTGCGCATGGGTCCTTCGGCTTTCAAGCCATGAACAATGAGGCAGAGTATGAGGCATTCCTAGCAAGACTCAGGTTGGCCATTGAGATGCAGGTGGATGCCATACACGTCCTCCCCAACTCGCAGCTAGTAGCCGAGAACCTCAACGGCGAATACGAGGCCCGGGACCCAACCATGTCAAAGTACCTGGCAGAGGTAAAAAGCCTGACCGCCAACTTCTCTCGCTTTACGTTATCTAGGGTCCCGAGAAGTGAGAACGAGCGAGCAGATGCACTGGCTAAACTGGCATCAAAGTCGGATCCCGAAGCCCAGCCCGAGGTCGAGGAACTCCCTTTCCGAGTGATCGCGATCGCGGCTGTATCCCCGGCCGACCCGCAGACTGTTAGGATCGGAGCGGCACTAAGAGGGGGGGTGAATTAGTGCAGCGGATTAAAACTTCAATTTTAACAAAATCTTTCGTACGTTAAGAACGAAACTTGAGAAATTTAACTTGAAGGCATATTCTTGAAGTTGCGCAGCAAGAGTAATAAGGAACTAAAGCAGTAAGAAGATTTGCAGTAATATAAATGAT